ATGGTATCATCGCTTACACCAACAGAATGCAGGAATTCTGAACCCGTGCTAGTGGCAGCGTGTGCTATTAAAGGATAGGCGTCAACTCCAACAGAAAGAACATTTTTGGCCAGGATATGGATTAATTGCTGGACGAATTTTTCTCTATCATGTTTGTATGCAAATACCAGATCGTGTATGAGTTTTTGTTGTTGTGGTGAACAAGCAAGCGTCCGCTGATGCAACCAGAGACTTATATCTTCATCTGATTCCTCAGCAAGACAGCCGATGTCACGGTAATTCACCACTTGGACACAATTGATGCCCACGTCTCGGGCTACTGGACGCACGCTCATTCCGAAGCAGCGCTGAAGTGGAGCTGGTGGTGGTACAGCCATGGTAGAAGCGTCCAGTCGACGAATCTCCATTGGATGCACGCTGCTATCTCGTCGGAGCGGACGACGATTCAAGAAATCACGAGTAAACTCGGATTCGAGGCGAGACCAGTATTCTGGCGGGAAGTGGTAGGACTCGATTTTTGGAGTTAACACGTCGATTACATGGTGTCGAACTATATCACCATCTCCTACGCCCTGAGTTTTGCATGTAGGCATCTCTTGTTGTACAGATTTTTCCAATGTTTCAATAAATGGCGCAGGAGTATGGGATTTTGGAGTAGTTGGAGGTGGCCTACGCTTCACAGTCTTAACCTCTTCTTCGATTATCTCCTCAATCTCATCTTCTTTGGGCTCTTCAATCCTGCAATCAATGGTATCCTCTGTGATGCGACGGAGACGCTCGTTCTCCTCGTGCAAGTTGTCAACGAATCGACGTAGTGTTGGGACTTGACGCGCTTCTGATTCGAGCGCCTTCATACGAGTTCGCATTGCGTTCATTTCACTTTCATAAAGGGCCTGGTTTTCCGCAGCCTTTTGGGCAACCTCGACAGCAGCCATCGCAACCGGTTCAATGAGATCCGAGTCATCTTTTTCCTCTACATTTAACGTTATTGTCTGTCCAATATGCCCACTAGATAGAGGAGCTTGGTGCTCCGTGTGCTCTCCACGGACAGTGGTACATGTTCCAAAGGTGAGAAATTCATCTTTGTTAGAGTTAATCATTGAAGGGTTAGAAAATGGCTGATAGTAAGCTGTATTATTGTAACAATCCTGGTTTGCAATTTGTTGTGATGCATACTTGGTATCGAAACCATTTAAAATATGGGCATTTAGCATACGATGTGCAGAATATGGTTCAAGATTAACCCCCAGCCCACTAGTAGTTAAAGAGTTCCCTCGAGCTCTGAAGGCTGTTCCTATCTGGCTTCCACCCAAAGAGTTGCTATAATTGACAGAAGGCATGTTACAATAAATCTCAAAATTTTCATGTGCTCATGACACTAGAGGAAGTCATTCAGTTTTATCCACGAAACATTATCTGGTGGAAATGAAGCAAAAACAATCAGGTTTAAAGTGAAAAGGATCAAAAAAGGTTTTTCCTAATGAAAATTGGTTTCGATTTGCAAAAATATGTAAAAGATATGTGGTTCATAAGATACAAGAGATGTAGATACACATGTAGTAAAAATCCCTGAATATTTACTTACAAGAAAGTGCTAGTGGCTGTATATTTTGAATTGGAATCCCCAAAAAATATATAGGGTCCAAAAAAATATATTTGCTTAAAATCAACTTATTTACAGTTGTGTTATTAATAACTTATAAAGTTCAGCATTCTAATAAAATATTAAAAACTTTTAAAATACAAAGAATCGATAACAGAATAAAAGAGGAATTTCACGAGTAAAAAGCATTTGTGTCGTTTACAGGAAATTACAAAAGAAAGAAAGCATAAATAACCAGCACTTCCTAATCAATAGAAGGCACAGTCCCAAAAGATATTTTAAGCATATGATACAATTTTTGCAAGGGTTATAATAAGATAACTAACTCGGACAAGGACTCAAGCATAATTCTATGGCTCAAGTGGTGATGTTGATCAAGCAGTTGCCAATAGATCCTAATTGTAACATCACTAATGTACAAATTCTGGGAAGTC